CGGATAGACGATCAAGGGGAGATCTTTATGAAAAGACCTGTCACTGGATGAAGGGTTTGCATCGAACATAGGAAGCTGAATATAGCGACAAAGAAATATCATGTCCCGCTGCCATTCATTCATCAATGCCTTGAGAGTTAGCTGGCCATGAGTATTACTGCTTCTTGGATGGCTACTCAGGCTACCATCAAATTCCCATCAAGCCCGAGGACTGTGAGAAAACTACTTTTACTTGTCCATATAGTATTTATGCTTACAGGAGGATGTCGTTTGGGCTCTGCAATGCCTCAGCCATCTTCCAGCGATGCATGTACCATATTTTCAGCGATCTCCTAGACTCGTGTATAAAAGTTTTCATGGATGATTTCTTAGTGTATGGCAAGACCTTTTCCCGATACCTGAATAACTTGGATAGAGTGCTGCTCCACTGCATTGAGACTTATCTCGTGCTGAATTGGGAGAAGTGTCATCTGATGGTAAACGAAGGGATTGTTCTTGGCCATAAGATCTCATTCGCTGGTATAGAGGTGGACAGATCCAAAGTTAGTGCAATCGAGAGATGACAGCGCCTAAGGATGAGAAGGGTATGCGAAGTTTTCTTGGCCACGCTGGTTTTTACAAACGTTTTAGCAAGAACTTCAACAAGATCACTCAATCGTTGACCGTGTTGCTGTGCAAAGATGCTAATTTTAAATGGAAGGGACAGTGTCAAAAGGCATTCCAAATTCTGAAGGAAAATCTCACCACTGCCCCCATCATTTTCGCACCAATGTAGAGCGAGTCATTCGAGCTGATGACGGATGCAAGTAACATGTCATCAGCGTTGTCTTGGGTCAAAAGTCTGAGTCCAAGCTGAATGTTATCTAGTACACCTGTAGGACTCTAGACTCTACTCAAAGGAATTACACTACCATTGAGAAGGAGTTGTTAGCCATAGTCTTCGCTTTCAAGAAGTTTAGATAGTATTTGATTGGGAACAAGACCATAGTTCATGCTAATCATGCAGCTATTAAGTACTTGATTGAAAAGAATGAGATAAAGGCTCGTTTGATTCGATGAGTTCGTTTTCTCCAGAAATTTGACATAGAAATCAAGGACAAAAAAGGGAAAGAAATTTTTGTTGCTGACCATTTAAGCAGACTAAGATAGCCGGAGGACACATCCCCAGGTATTAATGAATCTTTTCCTGACGAGAAGCTATTTCTTGTATAGGGTAAAAATCCATGGTTTGCAACCTGGATAATTTTCTAGCGACAAGATAGTTCCAACTATTATTTCTTAGAGGGAAAGAAACCGTTTATTGAGTTTGGAACATGACTACTTTTTAGATGAGCCATACTTGTTCAACATCGGCTCTGATGGGATTATTCGTTGCTGCATAGAGGAATTAGAATTTCCTCTGATCTTGGATGAGTGTCATGGTTTCAATATAGGAGGGCATTTTGCTGGCCAACAGACAACTGCCAAAGTTTTGCAGTCAGGCTTCTATTGGCCTACCCTATAGAAAGATGCTGATGTCTTTGTCAAAACTTGCGACAAGTGCCAAAAAATAGGGTCTATCTCAAAAAGAGATGAGACGTCTCTTATTGAAATCTTGTTTGTTGATATCTTCAATGTTTGGTGAATAGACTTTATGGATCCTTTTCCGAATTTTAATGGAAAGCTCTATATTCTGGTGGTTGTGGATTATGTGAGCAAGTGGGTCGAAGCGCAGACACTCCATACAAATGATTCTCTCTCAGGTATCTGTTTTCTCAAATACACCCCCTTTCTAAGATTTGGAGTTCTTAGAACCATTATCAATGATGAAGGAACCCATTTTGTGAATAAGACGCTGCAGGCCTGTCTAAAGCCAAATGGGGGGTAAGTCGGGGCCACCCTGGACTACTCGTCTGCTTAACCGAGTCATTCCATGCACAAATATGCTTTGATCTAATGTTGTTGTGTGTGCGAAAATGTGGACTATTATGTAATAGGTCAAAATATTTTGAATTCATGGCAACAATCATGTACTCTAACAACCCAACATAATTTAATTTAGTCATTGATGACTTGTTTAGACATCTAGAAGTAGAGATTGGACTATGCGTGTACATATATCATACAAGTCATTTGTGACTTATTTATCCATTTATAATAAATATATGTTATTTATTTTTTCATACAATTCAGGGTGTCATGGGAACACTATCATGATAAATTCATCCATAGTTACCGACAACAAATGAATATTTCGAACTGAAATTGATCGATTTTCCAAGCACAAATAACCAGGACATATATCTTCGTTACTGAAGCATATGACACCAGAATATAGGTATATAAGATATGCGCAAGGGCATGTATGTATTTGATGCAAGTATATAAGTATGTGCTTTAGATACAAACACCACAAACTCAATGAGAGTACTTTCTCTCCTAGCTCCGATGGAAAGGTTTGGGCACGGTACATTTACATTCAACAACTCATGTCATATTCTTCAATAGAAATACCACAAAGCATGTATGAATAACAACCAACATAATTTAACTAAGTCTTTTCTGTCTTGTTTATCAATCCATAGTAAATATGTGTTGTTTACCTTTACATATAGTTTTAGGATTCCCGAGAACACTATAATGACGAATTCATCTATTGTTACCGACAATAATTGAATATTTTGAATTAAGAATGATCGGTTTCCAAGCACAAGTTACAAAGGCATAGATACTCGTTATCGGAGCATATGAGATCGTATTATAGGTACTTAAAAACTACTCCGGGGTAATTGATATTTAAAGAAGGTATATAAAAATGTATTCCGAGTACGAGCTTAACAATCAAGGTATAATTAGTGATTTTTTAGGTATTATTTATGTAGTAGTAGGTATCTTTGAATGTGATCGACTTCAGTTAATCCTTTGAAGGATGAAGCAATCAAGGAACTCGGTGAAAATATTTCTTCTATTAGCATTTCTTCACTTCATTGGTGGTTGAGAGAAATAGCAGCAACTGGGAGGGCATAAACCTTCACAGTACATGTATATATTTTTCTTTCTTAGTGCACCACTAATGTTATATGGTATTCCTAAATGCACTTTTGTTCATTGCAGACATTACTTCAACCATTGCAAATTCTTGTAATTAATTAGTTAATTCCAATTTAAGAGCAGTATGCATATCTTTTCTGGCTCGTTGATGTTTTCGTACAATGATAACCTTCCTAACTAATGGGTAACATGTATATGAACATATATATGTAGTTTAAAGGTATTTCGATCTAGTTAGACGAGTACATCGATTTGTTGTGGAGGTACAACATGTGCATTATTGCAATTCTAACCATATGAACAATTAATCATATAATTGTTTACGGTACAATTCATAGCATTACTCCGAACATTAGGTTTCACCAAATTAAACCCACAGTTCAATTCCTCAATCAATCTTAATACAATCTCATCAAATATGAGCCAAATCAAACCAATTTAACCAACAATTCAATCCAAAAATAAAACATGACCCAAATCAAGTACAAATAATACAACTCAAATCCATCCAAATTCATTACAGACGTTTACTTACCATGTGCTGCTCATTGGAGTCTACAATTCGGAGGGCGGACCTTTCATTATTTTGGCCGCAATTTTATTGCGATAGTTCTTCACATTATCAAACTCACTGCCGATATCACCAATTGGATGGACTTCTGGATTTGCGTGGGCATAACACTTGACAAACATGCTGACCAAAAGACTACAGTCGAGATTATTACCCTGATGCTGACATTTTACGTACTCAGGTGTTTCCCTCACCATGGGCCATAGGTGTACTGCATTCAGGTACAAGCATAAAATCATGTCTGTAAAAATAATACAAGATTTTGTTACGTAATTAGGTTTATCCACAGTAAATTAATTATATTTATTACGTAAACTTACCAATTTCTCTGTGTTCCTTTGCCTGAACGATTCGCATAGTGAATTGCAAAATAAGCACAACCTAACCTACGGTCTATAAATAAATACCACCAGTCCACATTATTCAAATCTTGATTTTATTTAGCAAATTGACCTAAAAACTACAACTCGGGGTACTTAACAATACCACATTTGCTAACCCACAAACATAACTAATTACTAAACAATCAAACATAAAAACTAAAATATGCAACACCGGGTAACTAAACAAAATGTTTATCTACAAAATTAACAAAAATCATAGATAAAACAAATAAATCACCCAAAATCGGTGTCAAAATAAAACACCTAACTTGGTATACATGGGCAAACATACAAACAATTTCAAACTCGGTTAACAATCAAAACTACACAAATCACCCAGGGCTTCTCAAACTTAACTGAGATATACAAACACGGGACCAAGATTTACATCCCAAACAATCGAACAAACTACGATATAAAATACTAATGTCAATAAAATAAAAAATTGAAAAATATTCAATCAGGAACTTACTTCTTCGAGCTTGTCCCGGGGGATGGAAGCGGTCAACTGTTTTCTTCACAATTTTTGCATTGATCGGTCGCTACGTGATCGCCAAGGGTTGAAGAGCGTCGGTTCGTCTGAACAAGTGAGAGATAGGGTTTAAAATTGAGGTGGAAGAGTTATAGGTTTTTTGCCTCAACCCTGGTTAAATCGTAGGTAACTATTTTTTTTTTAATTCGCGAAAAAAAGGTACACAATATTTAACTAGAAGTATATAAAGTTATAATGAGAGTAGAACGAGAAGTAATGTAAATATTACAACATTGGAAGTGTTGATAACCTTACGTATTGTTGGAGACCTATGACAACCTTACATGTTGTGTATTACACTAATTGTGGAAAAAATACAAATTGGAGACCTATAGTACATACTTTAATTGAATTTGTTGAGAGATATTTTAATCAAATTTTCCCTATCATTTATTACGAGACAATTAAAATTAAAATTATATTTTACTCTTGATCCACACAAAAATCGATTATTTTCCCCCTTTATTGCCAACACCTTGTCTCTCCTCGGTGTCTTTCTACTAGGTTGGGTGATAAATTAATTTCTGACGGCCAATATGTTTTATTCTTCTCACAAGATAAAAGCTAAAGCATTAACCCCCGATCGCCGTAGTTGAACGAATCGTGAGATTGCGAAACCCGCCTGCGTTTCGTAGATCGATCGATTACTCATTTGGTGGTGGTTCTTCGGATCAGGGGATTGGCGCATCCATTGTTTTCGCTCAGCAATTGTTGTTTTAAAATAAAGTTATAGAGTAAGTGTTTAGCTAGAATGTTCTTGTTCGATTGGATTTATGGCGTCCTCGCGTCGCTCGGCTTGTGGCAGAAGGAGGCCAAGATTCTGTTCTTGGGGCTCGATAATGCCGGCAAAACGACCCTCCTTCATATGCTGAAGGACGAGGTACATTTGCTCTTTGCTTTGTATTTTCACTTTTTATTTTTGGGTCTTTACTTGATTATTTGCTGCGTCCGATGTCTTTTTTGACATATGCATATTTCCCTGTTATTTCGATCGCATCTTCTTGTATGGTTTTTGAAAGGTATAAGTCAATCTACTTATGACATGTGGATCGAATCTTTTGTACGGAATCGGAAATAGAGATCAAGAAAGAAATGTTGTTGCGTTTGACAATGGCAATGTCTATCTAATCACCGCATTTGTCTCCCCCAATATTCTTGGTTTTTGAACAGAATTAGTATCTTGATTCGATCCGCCAATTAAAACGGGATGCTGCTGGTTTTGTTGCGGCGTTGGTGATATATTTGGATTAGCTTTAGATCTGAGGAGAGATTTTAGATTAAAAACTATTACTCGTTTGGTTTTGGTAATTTTGATTAGATTTTAAGTGTTCTATTTGTTCTTGCTGATCTTCAATTTCTAGAATCTCCACATGGACTGTGAATAGAGTTATGTGCGTAGAGTGTTTGTTTAGAGATCTAAATTTGTTTGAAACAGAGATTGGTGCAGCATCAGCCCACCCAGCATCCAACTTCAGAGGAGCTGAGTATTGGTAGGATCAAATTCAAGGCTTTTGATTTGGGAGGCCATCAGATTGCTCGCAGAGTTTGGAAAGATTACTATGCCAAGGTACCTACGTTCTATATACCTACCATTTATGTACATGTATATACGGATTCGGTCTCTGTAACATCTTACCATTTACTTCTTCTTTAATGGCCTATATTTTATAAAACTTGTTGTGTATATTTGTAATGCATATGCAAAACGCAAAGGTGGATGCTGTTGTTTACTTAGTGGACGCCTATGACAAGGAGAGGTTCGCAGAGTCAAAGAAAGAATTGGATGGTCTCCTCTCGGACGAGTCATTGGCGAATGTTCCATTCTTGATATTGGGTAACAAGATAGACATCCCTTATGCTGCATCTGAAGATGAGCTGCGATACCACCTCGGCCTTATGGGCCTCACTAGCGGAAAGGGAAAGGTAAACATTGTAGATCAAAACACGATGCGCCCCATTGAGGTATTTATGTGCAGCATCGTCCGCAAGATGGGCTATGGAGATGGCTTCAAATGGGTCTCGCAATACATCAAGTAGAAGAAGAATAAGAAGAAGAAGAAGCAGCCTCCCATCAAGGTTAGATTTTTACCCAATTAATTCTTCAGAGTTGCAAGTGTAGTCTCTTTCTCTCTCTCTCTCTCATTGCAGGTAGATAGATATATGATGTTTGGATTACAAATTTTTGGTTTATGTAAGTTATCTATCTATCAGTGGAAGCCTTAGAATTTTGATTGATTGAGTTTCCACCGTACTGCACCTATGATTGCTGCTAACTACACCAGTCACACCAGGAACTACATTCTAACCATTTGGGACTCTGACTGACTGACTGACTGACTTATGTATGTTGCATATAGGTTTTTTATTTTGAGAAGAAGAAAGAGTACATAGATTTACATAAATACACTAGCAGATGATAGCTGGCCGGGTAGTTCATTAAAGCACAATTGCGTGCCCCTCCACCTATCTAATATCTATCCATATTCCTCATCGTGTAGTTTGTTGGGAAGATGATGATGATGATAAACAAGAAGCTTGAGAAAATCCCAGCAGGAAGGCAGGCAGCCGCTATAGCTATAGGCAAAATTAGTAGCAAAAACATCCCAATTAACCTCGCCCTGTCCTTCAAATATGCCACAACACTTGAGCGAGCACATCAAAGCACGCATACGCTCGATGTTGGATTAAAAATTCAATTGTGGGTTAAATGTAACTAGTTGGGCTACCGGTCAGGTTAAACCTATATTAAGTGATTTATTAATTTATTAGGGCTTGAATGTATTTAGTAAGTGTAGGGTGCAGAAACTCGGTACTTATTAATTAGGTGATGAAGCCAATTAATAATAAGGGATATAAATTAGAATTGTGATCCCAGGTCTAGACGCAACAACCATTACTTTTCATATCTCATGGTGGAAGTGAAACCCTAAAGGTTTTTCTAGGGAGGGGTGGCGTCATAGGTTTGAAAAACACAAAATTCTCTATCAATTTGTAGATCCAAGTATGCGTGCCCTAAGAAATCATGTTAGATTTAATTGCTTTATTTTATTATCTCGATTATTTCAACACGACAAATTTGGGTTTAGGGTTTAAGTCTGATAAGTTTCAAAAGAGCAGTTACGTGTTAAATTATTGATATATTTATTAGACGAATGATAAGTTCCACATATTCTGATATTATTCTGTGTTCATTCGATCATCAGTCTTCTGCAATTGGATTTAGAATTGGGTGGGAAAGTAGGAATTACAGTATAACTATGCTGTGACTCTTAGATATAAATTCAATTACTTGCTTGTTAGATTGACGTATGACTAAGTTTGACTGGTTGGAAGAAATCATTCTCAATATTTAGATTTGGCATGATTTGAAGGATCCTTAGTACTTCAATTTGTTATATTGTAGATAATTACTGTTTTATTGTAATAAAAGTATATTTCAAGTGCATCGCTGAATAAAGGTTTATTACTGGTCAGAGGTCTTTATCAATATACATGTGGGTTTTTATTATATCAAAGGAATTCACACGTGCAAGTGCGTTAATTTTTTATTGCCAATTTATAATCATAATTATGTTTGTGCACTTATATTAAATTTATGTTTGATTTGATTATTGCAGGATTTATTAATTAATGTAATTATATTAATGTATTTGCAATTGAATTTGAATTTATTAATTAATGTAAGTATATTAATGTATTTACAATTGAATTTAATATGTGCATAATTCATTTATTTATTTTGCTTTTGATGTTATAAAATAAGATTCAGTATGATATGTTTTAAGATCCAATTAAATTTGGGATACAACAATACGTGTTTTCGACATTGTGCATTTGTTCAAATTTGATTATAAATATTTATTGTATTAATTTATATTTTTTTGGGTGACATATATATTGTTTGTATTTTCTGTTACATCTAGTACTTCATTGGACTACTTAATTATTTAATATGTCCATAAATTAATTGATGTTGTTATAGCTTTCATCAATAATTAAGATGAATTTAATTAGCAATAAATTAATATAATATCATTTATGAGTTGATTGAAACAATTATCTTCCAAATAAGCCTCTGTTGATTGACCCAAAGACAAGTCAGCGATTAAGTACTTACATGGATGTTTAGCGATATTGAATGTGGTGAATATAATTTGGTTATTTGTGTGTGAACAATGGATTTGTCCAAAGACGGAATATTATTTGACACACTACTTTATTGTCAACATCCGATTGTCAAAACAAGTTTATCGTTGACGAGTCATTAATTTGTCCAAAGACAATTGCTGATGTTGTTCGATAACTTGTAATATGATTGATAGTTTATTTTATCAATTCACATAGAGCATTCAGTTGCCTATACACATTCTTTACTTTTATGGAATCAAACTCGTATGCGTTAAACGTAATTACGATTCTAATTTGATTTAAGAATATTAAAAGTTCATAACTAATGCATGTTGCGTTTTGACAGTGAAACTCAAGTATTTGAAGTTGCTAAAGTAAACTCTTTTATATGAGATTTTTACTTGATAAAGTAAGTGTTTATATGTATTTTAATTCATGTAATTATTTTCAACCCAAAGACAGTTGGTAAATTGACATAATATACATCTGCGATAATATGTATAAAATTATTATATTGTTTTAACTTATGTGAATAGTGAGTTCAAAGAGTAGTTTAATGTTTGACATTACTTATTATTCGTACATGATTATGCAACAAGATGACGGTTAACAATCAATGTTATTGATCCAAAGATTGATCATTGATGTTGCACTTAGTGTCTTGGGATGAGAATGCATTATTCTTGAACTTCATTGTGCTTTATAAATATTTTTATATATATTTGTCCGTCCCAACACGGTATGGGAACAGATGTAAGCACTTAAAAGAATCAATCTTGATTCATTTGGGCTGCATGAATTTTTACTTGGCATTAAAGTAGATCAAATCACTCATACGACGAAAGACACTGCAAATGAAAAACAGTTGTTTAAATAGTGAGATAGATCCAACGCCTAAGTTTGATAATCATTAAGAAAAATACTTAATAAATTTTTCGGGGTATCAAGAGTTACTTATCAAAATTGAGAAACGCTTTACCAAAAGCGACAAGGTGGAAATGAGTACTCATCTTAAGAGTCTCTTATTGCCATGAGGAATATCGACAAAGATAACATAAGGGAGTACATCATGAACATGTCTACTATTGCTACTAAATTAAAGGCACTTAAGTTAGACTTTTCGGAGGACATGTTTGTCCTATTGGTCTTGCTCTTGAAGTAACTTTTAATTTCACTTCATAGACACACTTGGGGGTGGATTTTAATGCAACAATTCACATCAGTGTGTCTATGTAAGATTGTCTTTATTGCCGAAAATCAATTGATGATGAAAGATACATCTATATGGGTGACGGCAAGAAAGTTCAAGGTGGAGTCATTGACAATTTGATTATTATTAAGTACTAATTATTATTTGGATTTAGATCTGACATTTGTATTTTTTTGGATACCATATTTAGTCAAAATTTAATTTCAATTTCTATTTTGGAGAAATTCGATTATTATTGTTCATTCAGATATAAAGTTTTAGTCTATTCCAGAATTCGAAATTAATAGGAACTAGTACATTATTTGATGATAATAATCGTTATTTTTCTAATTGTATGGCTTCACATCATGAGTTAACTATTAAACATATTCGTATAGCTTCCATGATTGCGAATTCACTTAATTACTAAAAGGTTTCCACATAAGTTCTATAGTGAGCATGTTGCTCGTATGAGAGTGGAACCGTATTTTGATACTTTGGTTTAGTGAAATCTAATTCTTAATGTTCAAATATAGTTAACGTTACTTTATTTTATATTGCAGTATTCAGTATGCATTGTTCAATATTCAATCTTAATTCAATATTCAGTTATTCTGAATTAAAGTTAATGTGGATTGGTTGGAAATAGGCATGTTAAGATCACATTACATGAAATTTTCATGATGTGCATCCGCACTTGATCGAATCTTAAGTTCTATTGATGTTGTGACCACTGATCGGTCTCATTGCGATAAATGTAGTGATGACCACTTTGATCCGCATTGATGTAATTTATAGTTAAGATTAGTAAAATACATTAAAAGATCTTATAGCAAAATTTTCATGAGCTCATAAGATTGTTCAGTATAGTTTTACCCAAGTGGAAGATATTGTGGGTTAAATGTAACTATTTATGCTACCAGTCGGGTTAAGCTTATATTAAGTAATGTATTAATTTATAAGACTTAAATATATTTAGTAAGTGTGAGCCTCCTATGTGCAGAAACTCGTAACTTATTAATTGGGTGATGATGTCAATAAATAATAAGAGATATAAATTTGGGTTGTGATCCCAGGTCTAGACGCAACAACCATTATTTTTCATATCTTATCGTGGAAGTAACTGCAGAAATCTTAGCGATTTTCTCGGGAGGGGTTGCGTCATAGGTTTGAAGAACACAAAACCCTCAATCAATTTGTAGATCCAAATATGCGTGCCCTAATAAATCAAGTTAAATTTAATTTTTTTTATTTTATTATCTCAATTATTTCAACACGACAGATTCTGAACTTAGGGTTTAATTCTGATAAGTTACAACACCCGAAACATCTTTCAAAGCACGAAAAAAGTCCCTCAATTTAATAATCCTCATCTAATATTCTTTTTCTTTTTCCTCTGCCTAGGCTCATTGAAAACGTGTTTGGCAAATGCCATTGATGACACTTGTTGTAAATAGGGTCGGTCTCTCATTTAGGTGATCATCAATTACTTAATAATAGAACTATGACAACAGTGTTATATAATAAATAATATAAGTAAGTAGGTAAGTTTTGTAATAATAATAATATAATAAGTATAATATGTGTGTACGTGTATGCACGGGTGTGTGTGTAAGTTTATATATATATATATATGAATATATAGGTATAGAGAAAGAGAGTAATTAATGGAGAGAGGGAGAGCGGAGAATGGATTGTGTGTGTCATTTATTGAACGAACATAAGCATCTATTTATATGCAAATTGAACGTATAGTCTTAATTGGATTATCGAGGAATTGTGCCCGTAATTTAATAATTTGGGCGAGCAATCTCGCAAATGTCATATTGCGAGTTGATAATAAACAGACATGTAACCATCTGGTAGATGCATCAATAAGCACCATAAAATATTTAAATGGCCCACATAGTGGGTCTATTGGTCCACATATATCCTCGTGTATTCTTTCCAAAAATGTAGGTGATTCAATACCTACTTTAGCTGGCGATGGCCTGATTATCAATTTTCCCTGAGTGCAGGCAACACAGGCTAACTCATTTGAGTTAAACACTTTTTGACCTTTCAATGAATGGCCATGCGGATTCTCAATTATTCGCCTCATCATTATACTGCTAGGATGCCCAAGGCGATCATGCCATATTTGAAAATCGATAGTCTTTTGATCTACCGTGAGGTGTGTTTCAACAACACCTAATCTGGCATAATATAAGCCAATAGAGAGTAAGGGTAATCTCTCAATGATGCATTTCTTTTTATCAATAATATTGATGATCAATAAAAATTCACCATCGGTATCACTCATAGTTTCAATATGATAACCATTTTCCCGAATGTCTTGAAAGCTCAGTAAATTTCTTCGAGCTTTAGTGGCCAACACCGCATACTATATCACAATTTTCGTCCCCACGGAGAGAAATATAATGGTTTCTCCAGAGCCTTCAATTAATTTTGCACTGCCACTTATTATATTGACATTCATCTTTTCCTTTTTCAAATGGGAGAAATATTTTTCGTGTTTTAATATACTATGTGTCGTTGCACTGTCAATTAAACACATATTTGCATCATTTTGTTTGGCATCCATTTAACCTTCAAATATAAATAAACATAGTATTAATAAAGGCATATATAAGTATTACAAAATGTATTACCAAAAGGTAATATGCGATTATTTAAATATTACAAAATATAAAATGACATAATATGTCTATCACTGGGGGTTTGCTGGATCTACGACAAAATTCGCTATATCAAGATGCGTTGTGTCATAGTCCAAAAGATCATCATCGGGGTCGTCATCATTATCAACATGATTAATCTTGACCTCCTTCTCTTTTTTCTGCAGTGAGACTTGATAAAGATCGGCTAGGTGTTTGGTTGTTCTACAGGTTTTGGCCCAATGGCCTTCAATGCCACACCGATTACAAATGCCGATTTGCCTATTTCCCTGTTTAGCCTTTTTGGCTATATCCCCATATTGGGGTTTACTCTGCATCTTGTTAACGTCAAAACTGCGGCGATTGTAAGGGGTATATCGACCGCATTGACTCTCACGACCGCGACCACGTCCACGGCCTCTACCACGTTCTCGGCCTCGTTCAAAAAATGTCACGTTCGCTTCAGGGAACGGACTGGAACCAGTGGACCGAGACTGATGATTTTTCATCAGTAACTCATTATTTTGCTCAGCTAATAAAAGACATGCAATGAGCTGTGAGTACTTTTGAAAGTTTTTCTCATGATACTGCTATTGCAGCTCGAAGCATGAAAGGTAGAGAGAGTC